GCTGCTACTGTTGCTGCTGCTACTGCTGCTGCTGCTATTATTACAACTACTACTGGTCACCTCCGCTGCCACCACCACTGCTAACTCGCGGCATTACCTGAGTCGTACACGGTCTTCCACGCTGTGGGGTTGGCTGCCACGTGCTCGTGCAGCCCCTGCAGCCCGCTCAGGTTGGACGCGCGCACGATCTCGGACCACGCCTTGTCTGTGAGCCATGTCGGCGCGGGGTTGGGGTGAGGGTTGTCCAGCGCAACGCCCCCTGTCAGCAGGAATCGCCACGCATCGTCGTCGACACCGCCGCCACCGCGCATGACCCCGATGCAGAGGATGAAGGAGAAGAGAAGCTTGTCCTTCTCAAAGAGAGACCGGCACACGTTCCTAGCGGCAGGGGAGGGACGTATGAGAACACTAACATCGACTCATTCACACACGTTCCTAGCAGCAGGGGAGGGACGTATGAGAACACTAACATCGACTCATTCACACACGTTCCTAGCGGCAGGGGAGGGACAGATGAGAACACTAACATCGACTCATTCACACACGTTCCTAGCGGCAGGGGAGGGACAGATGAGAAAACTTATGAGTAATAATACGAAACTTAACATCGATTCCTTGAGCGACTAATAGAAAGCCGAGACGCTACACAGAGAAACGGAAACTCTAATCTATAACTTGAGGGCGTGCCCTGTCACGCGCTTCCGTACAGGGGGTATAGAAGGCGCACCTGTAGATGCTGTTGGTGAAGTGAGCGTTAAGGATGCTGATGCGAGTCTCCAGCTGTTCCGACGGCTCGCTGCCGCCGATAGACTTCACGTAGAGGTCTATGAACCACGCGAGTGAGTACTGGTACATCGGCTCTATGTTCGCGAGCTCCGAGATGCAGAAGAAGAGCGAGGAGCCGTGAGCGGCGACGGGACGATAGCCGTCACGCGTCGCGTCGATCTCGCGCTCCGTCGCCGTGGCAACCACCTGCTTCGCAGAGATCTCTTCGGAGAGCGTCTTGGAGGAGGAGAGAACCTGCGTGTGCGACGCGAGGGTGGTCGTTAGTTGCTGTGTTTTGCAAGGGTTGGAAGGGGCGTGCATCACGTAGCAGTACGTGTTTGTGAAGGTGTGGGGGCATTCTAAAGGTTATTCTGTGTTTCTAAATCGTTAAATTAGCGCCATTTTGTTACTAAGCAGTGTTTTTAGAATGCTCCGATCACAAAACTGATTGGCTAGAGCTACCTGTCAAACATGAACTAAATAAATATATATATATATATATATATATATATATAGTAGGAGAGAGAGAGAGAGAGAGAGAGAGAGAG